TCTGTACAGCAGCGTGTTTTGATTCGTTACATCCAAATGCCAAATACCACTTTTATGCCAGGTCCAGGGAAACATCCAACCCCCTTCAACCTCCTCTACTGCACCACAAACTGCTCCGTATGACTCTTGTACAACACACTTGAGTCCAGAACTGCGCCCGTCTCGGATCGAATGAAGTCCACCTGCAGATGCGTCTCGTTCAGCACCCGCACGGTACTGTAACTGTAGTCATCGGCGTAGACAAACGCCGTGTACGAGGGCTCGGATCCGACCGAGCTCAAGCCTTCGATATTGCCCGCTCCACCGGCGACGATGTACATGGGCGCCGCCGGGTCATTCAGCCCATTGGCATCCGCGGTGCCGTTGTAGACGGGCTGGAAGCGCTGCGAGTTGTGCACGTGGCCGAACACCCCCAGATCCACCCCGTACTTGTACAGGAGATCCTCGAAGGCCTCCTGGCACGCGTCGCAGATGTTGCTCGACCCGCCCGTGGAATACCACGGTCGGTGACCCGCCACGATCACCCACGGGGTCACGCTGCGGTCGACACTGGCCAGGTCCGCTTCCAGGAACGCCAGCTGCTGCTGGGGCTGGCCGAAGGGGCCGCCGTCCAGCCCGGCAGAGCCGTCCGGGCCGTCCGGGGCGTCGGTGAAGTCGGTCTCGGTATCGATCATGGTGAAGTGCACCATGCCGTACTCGAACGAATACCAGAAGGGGGGGTTGGAGAGCGTGCGCGCGGTCGCAGCCAGGGTTTGCGCGGTCGTGTTGGTGGAGGACGAGGCGAAGGCCGACGGCATCGTCTCGTCAAACCGGTGCATGAAGTCGGTGAAGTTGCGTTGCCCCTCCGGGCAGAGATCGATGAGCAACGACAGCTCGTCGCAGTCGGCTTCGTGGTTCCCCGGACTGACCATGTAGGGCTTGCCGGCGGCAATCGGAGCGAGCTGGTCGTAGAACTGCTCCAGAATGGCTTGATAGGCGTCCTTGCCGTCCAGCAGGTTCTTCAGCTTCAGATACCAGTCGTCGGCGTAGGCAAAGTCGCCGGGGTGAATGACGAGCTCGTAGTCGTCGAATGTGTCGGCCAATCGTCCGATGGTGGTGTGGTTGAGGTCGGGCTCGACGTACGGCGTCTCCCGCTTGCTCGTGGAGGAGTCGCTGGAGAGGGTGTAGCCATCAGCCCCGTACACTCCCAGGTCGATTACGACATCGAAATTGAAGGGGGTTTTGTCCCCCGGGGTCCGGGGGCTGAGGAACTGCTCCACCGTGGAATTGCCAGACACAATCTTGTAGTAGTATATGGTGGCCGGCGTAAGGCCCGTCAGAGTTACAGCATTGGAGTAAGTGCGCGAGGTCGAGTAGGTCGTCGACTTGGTCGAGCAGGCCTGCTGGCTCAGGTCACTGCTGGAGGTTCCGTATTCGACACAGCTCGAGTTCAGCTTCTCATAGGTGTTCCATCCAATTGAGACCGCTAGACAGAGGGGTTGATCAGGGACTGTCGGGTTATGGTTGGGAGAGGAGGCGCTCACATGTGGGCCCCATGATAGCCAGACGCTGCTGGTACGGGGTGGTCAGGTCATTAGGCAGAGTAGGATAGTCCACGGCCAAGGCTGCAACCGCCAACAAGGGGAGTCCCTTGAACAAAGTGGACTGGTGCATCATAGTACTGGTTGTCGCTTGCGTCCGATGCTTGTGGTCCTGTTGATTGCCCTCATATGCTCGAATTTATAGTCGCGGGCAGGCGTAATCCCGCCGTCGTGAGTGGCTCGGGCCAGTGGCCCCAAGTGCATGCTGGACCTTGCAGATTCCAGCTTGCATGATTCTCGTTGATGCAGAATCAAGGTTACGGCCGAACGTGCCTCGGTCCGCGCCTCTGTTTGGGAATGATGTTGGGAGGGCATTGATGGGGGATTGATTAGGGTACCTGATCGGCCAAGCACGTGGGGAAAGCGTTGGCCTCGCCGTGCTTCATCCTCCGTGCCGGCTCTGCCGCATAGATTGCCCACGGGGGACGGTAGACCGTTTTCTGCAAGCATCTCCGACTGTCACGTTGGTGAGTCTGCGGGATTCTGCAGGCACTGCCAGGCAGCAAGCTCGGTGGAGTCATTCGTACGGACTAAATGCCTATTTGGGAGGGGGGTTGCTGCATCACCACCTGGCATTCCCCACCTCATAGTCCGGCGTACTAAGACCGGGCATAGTGGCATAGCTTATATAAGCAGGCATTATCCACGAATGTCCTGCGCTGTACTGTTTAATTGGTAGCGGAGGAGTCGAGGAAGCGAAGTGTATTCAAGTGTATGACAACCCTGCCTCATAGCTGGGCGGCGAAAGCGATTGAGCCACTTCAAATGCTGGGAGCTCATCGCCGAACAGGTCGCTGTGCAACTTGTCACTGCTGCTAGCTAGCTGATGGATACGGAGTGGAAAGATCGCCCCGTAGGACCTGACCGAAGTCCTTCGGTCCAATACACGATTTGTTCGGTCATTGACAATATCCTCGCCCGTGATGACTTCAATCTTGAGGTGATGGTCGACGGTGATGGCTGGGGTCTTGGCGACCTCACTCGGATGAAGCCATCCACGACTCGGGCAATGGAACTCTCGGTCCAGGTCATCCACAGCATTGATGGCTTGTGGTATCGTAATGTCGAATTGGATCTGAGCCCGATCATCAGTCCGACTCAGTGAATTTGAGTGTCGGTGGTTGCTAATTGACAACGGGATCTTGACCTCTCCGTGACTTAGGGCACGCGTCGACCTCTGACCAGGACTGAGGCTTGTCTGCCAGTCGCCGTTGGAGATCTCTGTGAGGACAGCTTCTTCTCCCATTTCCCACTTAACTGCGTTGACTATCACATATTTCGCTTCTCCCGCTCGGTCTCCGAGTGCGTAGAGATTCCGGACCAGCAGTAACACGGAGAACTGAGCCCTAGGTGTGTTGTGATTGGGTTGCCGCTGTGTGATGCTCACGTCGAATGTGAGAGGAGACTGAGGAAACATCCGAATGTGTCTGGCTGTGAGATATGAGCTTTGTACGAGGCGATGGAAGATCCCCAGCGGTCTGTATAGAATTTCTGACTTCCCGGAGGCCAGAGTCATCGTGGCCCGGATCGCGTAGCTGATGGTTCCCAGGTCTGTGATCGTCGTAGCAGGAAGGTTATCCGGCACTGGTACACAAAAGGGAAACTGGAGACACTTGAGACTAGAATCTGTTCTTGCGCTCTGAGACGTGGCGAGCAAATCCGGCGAAAACCAGAGGTTACACTTGAGCACGGTCTCGCAGTATGTCTGAGCTGTCGTCTGAGCGGTTCTTGGTGATATCATCCGCCGCTTAAATGGGAGAGAATATCGCCGGTGACCCCCGGTGATTCTGCGAGCTGACTCCTTGGCTTCAATTTCCACTACTCGTAGAAGACTGATAGTGATCTCTGAAGGGGTTTGGGTGTCCGTCGTGACAGAATCCGGTGAGATCCAGAGCGAGCCAGATAGAGGCAAAGTATATAATCCCCGATCCGGGTGGATGAAAATAACATGCGAAGTGGGAGTGTCTAAGCGGAGACGTGGTCCGGCCATTTCGGTCGACATATAGATGTTGGTGATGGAAGAGATTGACAGTGAAAGGAGTGCTTGAGAAGAATTTGAAGCAACAATGGTCCAATGGTCCAATGGTCCCATAAGTAAGATATTGATGCCATCGACGTACAACTCCCACGTCCAGGGTTATAGTGGGTGGCAGCCAGACTAAGCCCGAAAGGGCAGCCAAGCTGTAAAAATAAGCTTTTGCATCGTTTGCAGCTCCACCGTAGATGCCTGAATGTCGCCCGCTTCTTCAGGCCGCCAGCGCCCCTTCCCCTCTCCATAACAGAAGCATTGCCCTGCCCTGCCCTGCTCTTCCCTTGGAACTCAGTTCTCGTTGAGTCTCCCTCTCCATTCCCCCAGATCCGCCAGCCTGCTCTCTGTCACGGGTCGGTTCGTCTATCTTTACAGCTCGATTTGGAAGGCAATTCCACCATCAGGGGTTTCCACACTTGGCCATGGCTCCCAGACTCCATTTGGTCCGCCACGCAGAGGTGCGATTCATGGCCATCGGCTTCCCCCATTCCTGACTTGACCGACAATCAACTCTAGGGCTTGCATAATCTCGGCATGGTCTACTGGTCTCTCGAGGACCCGCCTCTGACCGAGAAGGGCAGGGAGCAGTGCTCCAAGCTCAGAGAGCATTTTCCCTCGCATCCCAGCGTTGAACTTGTCGTATCGTCGCCCATGCATCGTGCCATCGCGACTGCAGTGGAGAGCTTCCAACCACTGTTTGATCGTCTCCCGGACTCCAGGTTGGTGGCACTGCCGGATCTCCAGGAGATCAGCAGCTTCCCCTGCGATATTGGAAGTGAAGTGACCGCACTTCAAGCGAAAACGGAGGAGTTAGGCGTTCACATAGACTGGACCCATGTGGAGGACGGGTGGACGAGCAAGGTGAGTAGAACAGCAGTACAGTACACCCGCTGGGTGCCAGAGAGACCCGTTGGGGCTGACTTTGGGATGCCTATCATGTCTAGGACGGACGATACAAGCCCACCAGAGAAGCGATTCAGGAGCGGGCTCGTGCCGCCCGGCGGTGGCTCTATGAGAGGCCAGAAAGGCCAGAAAAGGAGGTGGTGGTAGTCACCCATGGGGCCTTCTTACACTTCCTGACCGAGGATTGGGAAGACAGTTGTGTGTACGAAGGGACGGGCTGGGCCAACACCGAGTATCGCACGTATGAGATGACCGCCGCTCCGGAGGATGACGAAATCTCGCTGGTGGAGTGTGACAGCTCGCGGGTCCGCCGTGGCAAGACTCACGGGGCATCTTCACGAGATGAACAAAGTCGATTGTATGGGATGGCGCTGCAAGGGTGGGAGGAACAGGGCTACTTGTTGAACGGGATCACCCAGACGGCGGTAGTGGGATAGGCAATGCTCATGCACTGGACCTTGTCAGAAGTTTTGGTTAGCTATCTTTAACTTATGACATTGATAGCATTCACCACATTTATCACCTCTTATTCGCCGAGTGGAGTATTGTTGCTGGGACCACGAGATATACAAAATAGACAGAATATACAATAACCCCGCCCGATCACGTGTGGATCACATGACCCAGCAAAAATTTGAGCGTCCAACCTTGACGTCAACCTGGCATTTTACAGCCGACCGACTAACTAGCTAGATATCCCTCAGATTGATCGAATTCCATCTCCTGCATCCCGCCTGATGCTAGGCGTCTTTAGTCATTTACCCCCAAGCACTGCGTCCGACAAAGGTCAGTCGTCTCCCGCAGCTGGCATCTTCCCCTACAGCCACACTAACCACAAAAGGGCGGACCTCCAGACTGTTCCAGGTGCAAGTCGCGACGGATCCAATGTGACCGGAGTTTGCCCAAGTGCCGGAAATGCATCTCGCGTAATTATGACTGTCCAGGCTATGGGCCAGTGTTCAAATGGGTCCAAGGGGTGGCCAGTCGAGGCAAACTAAGCGGCCAGGCACTTCCCGTGCCTAAGAAGAATGAGAACGAGGAAGAAGAGCGCAGGGAATGTCGCACTCCGCATCACTCTCAGCTGCAGAATGCGGAGCTGACGGGATCGGAAATCTACATTCAACCAGAGAGTCCGGCAGAGGCCCTCTTGTCCCACTTGCTAGCTCATTTTGACCAGCATGTTGCGACAAGGCTTGCATGGGTGGATGGGCCCGACAACCCCTGGCGAAACCTCGTCATGCAATTGACGCATTCGTCTCCGGTGGTCCTCTACTCTATTCTCGCAATGGCCTCGGAAGACTTGATCCTTCGCTATGAGGCCGGGCACCGCCTGCGCCGCCTGCGGGCTGCTTCGTTGGACTATAAAAGCAAGACCCTGTCGCTGCTCGGACAGCAGCTGGACATGCTGCCACGAGAAGGCTCGGGGTCGCCCGGGCATACCCATCAAGTACGATGTATTCTCGCCGCAATTCTGCTTCTGTACAACGTGGAGCTGCTGACGGCAGAAGATGCGCGTTGGCGAGTACACATTCAAGGGGCGCGCGCGGTCATCCAATGGATGTCCCAGGCCGTCGCTCGTCGCAATGTGGAAGACCAAGTGGATGTCTTTCTGCTCTATGAGTATTACTATTCTTCAGTGTTCATGGGGCTGACGACTTTCGACTCTTTGGAGGAAACCTCGAAAACAATTCAAACCCACGATACGTTAACCGTATTCAGCGACTTTGTTCAAGTCATGCAGACGGTCACTCGTGCTGAGCGGGAGAAGCACGCTGGCAACCCCGACGCTATCCTGCCCACACTGGAGGGTATCATGGACGAGATCGATGCGGCGAAATCCAGGACCTTGCTGCTCAGCCAGCGTATCCAATTTCGGTCGGCTGACGCACAGCGAGATTTCGACCATCTCTCCTCCATGTACTACCATGCGTGCTTGATATATAGTCACCGGGTCCTAGGGGATAGTTCCGCCGAAGAACCGTGCATTTTCCTATCGCGTGACGCAGTGCTGGACCACGTTTCTTGTCTGAAACACAGCGCGTCGTTTGCCCAGGATCTGGTCTGGCCACTTTTCATCGCTGGCACGGAGTGCAGAGAATGTCCTGCCAAACAGGCGACGGTGGAACGTGCGATGCTGGCCGTGATGCAGATCAGTGGCCGGCTGGACCGCGACCGCGTGCTGGCCTTCTTGAAGACATACTGGGAAACAAAGTTGAGTCCCGATGTGACCTGGATTCAATTCGCCCGGTCCAGAGCGGCGGATTGTTGTTTTCTGATCATCTGAGGCTAGTAAGGTTTTGTGCATGAGTCACTCAGCCCGCTGGACACGACACAATGACCGTGATCGGAGGCGTGTTCCGGTGTCAGCTACCTTGGGTAGCAAAGCATTTACCATGGAATGCGAGTCCTGTGATGTTTACCATCACCCGCAAACCAAGGGGACAGATGTGGCCTCTGAATGAGTCAGTAACTCCCCCTATCAGGCAATATTTATACATAAACGGAAGACGCCCACGCGAACCACGTCCATAATACCAAACTAGTTAATCCAGCACAAGCTTCGTCAACAGCTCAGCTGCTTGGATACACTATAGCGCAATGAATAAAATCTGCGGTTGTTGCTATTTTGAGCGCGATACTTACGCCTGGGGGTATATCCCACAGGTTGGCCTTCAAGCCCACGCATTCCTACGAGGCACCAGCTCGCGCACAACTCTGACCCAAACATTCAAAAACTCGGGACCTAGGCTGCTTCACGAGGTCTGCTATCGGTTCCCACTCTTCGACGGGGTTAGTGTCGTCGGATTTCGATGCCAGGTGGGCGATCGAGTCATGCGCAGCGAGGTCAAGACCAAAGAGCAAGCCAGCCAAGACTACCACACAGCCGTCTTGCGTGGCGCCTCGGCTGGGGTGCTTGACCAGTCCAGTCAAGACTCGGACATCTTTCTACTGTGGCTGGGCAATGTCCCTCCTCGGCAGACCATCACAGTGAGCATCACTGCTGTGGGGGAGCTGAAGACCGACGCGCAAACCGAGGGCATTCGATACACCTTGCCAAATGGCATTGCACCTCGCTATGGGTATAGGGTGGATCAGGTCGTGTCTACTCTGATCAACCCAACAGACAAGAAAGGCCTCGAAATAGTTGTAGACGTTGTCATGGAGAATGAAAGTGCAATTCGGATGGTTCAGTCACCCAGCCATCCCATCCGTGTCAGACTGGGCCGGACTTCATCCACCCCCGATGAATGTACCGAATTCGCAAAGAGCTGTGCCTTCGCAACGCTGCATGTCGCCAGTGAAAGCCATATATTGGAGCGAGACTTTGTCCTGGTGATCAAAGCCGATAAGACAGATGTTCCTCGCGCTTTGATCGAATGTCATCCTACCGCCCCCAACCAGCGTGCCATCATGGCTACCCTTGTACCCCGGTTTCACATCCCTGCGTCCGACCCGGAAGTGGTTTTCCTGATTGACCGTAGTGGCAGTATGCGGGACAAGATCTCAACCTTAAAGTCTGCTCTCCGGGTCTTTCTGAAGTCGGTGCCCGTGGGCACCTATCTCAACATCTGCTCTTTCGGGACCCAGCACCAGTTTCTCTGGGCTCGCAGTCGGGCCTACGATGGCCCCGGTCTGCAGAAAGCATTGACCCTGGTGGATTGCCTGGATGCGGACATGGGATGCACGGAGATGACGGCTGCTGTACAAGCAGTTGTGAAGCGTCGTCTGAAGGGACGGGAACTGGAGGTTCTGATTCTCACCGATGGACAAATTCACCAACAGCAAGAGCTATTCGACTTCATCCGTGCTACTGCTGCTAACCAAACAGCTCGCTTCTTTGCTTTGGGCATCGGTTCCTCTGCTTCTCATGCCCTTGTGAACGGTATTGCACGTGCTGGTGATGGGATTGCCCAGTCGGTTACGCTTCATGAGGAGCTGGACTGCACCGTTGTGCGTATGCTCAAAGGGGCTCTGAGTCCACACATTCATGATTATTCGCTGACTGTCAACGACGACGAGCCGAATGACGGTTTCGAGGTGGTTGATCATGAAGAGCAGGAGCTAGTGCAGGAGCCAGACACCACCACCACCACCCCAGAACCTTCCCCTCGGAGACCTATCCTGCTCTTCGACCCCGAAATGAGGGGATTTGACACTGCTATCACATCGAGCGAGCCTCCAGTTGTGCAGCCTCCGAGTATCATTCAAGCTCCACAGCACCTGCCAACCCTCTATCCGTTCATTCGCACCACGGTCTACCTTCTTCTCACATCGGCTCGAGCTCCACGCTCGCTGACTATTCGTGCTTCCTCCAAACATGGCCCACTGACACTTGACATTGCCGTGGAAGACGTGGGTTGTGGCGAGACCATTCACCAGCTTGCAGCCCGCAAGATAATCACCGACCTGGAAGAGTCTGGCGGATGGGTAGCCCGTGCCAAGGACAAGCATGATCAGCTCTACAATTCTGTGACCCAGTCAAGGCTAGCTATTCAGGAATGTAAACGTCTGGGTCTCCAGTACCAGCTCTCTGGCCACCACACGTCGTTCGTGGCAGTCGATGAAAATGCTCTTCTGTCAGGAGAATGCTCGTCATCTGGTTCAACTGCCGTGGTGATTCTCCCACACCAACCGGACACGGGTCCAGTCTCTTTGATGGGACATGTCTTGCCTGGTTCCCCGAGGAAGTGTTATGCTATGTCGAGAGCTTGGAGAGGTGGTTCACCGAGGATTCTGAGGGGTGGTGCCAGAGGTGGTGTACGAGGTGGCACAAGAGGGGGTGGGCCAGCAGGTGCGAGAGGTGGCGAGATACCCACCCTACGAGGCGGTGGCAGTCCCCTCGTGCCAGTGCCCCAATCTGCGACTGTCCCCAGCCCATCAAGTCGACGGATATATTGCGTCATTGACTTGCAGATCTTTGACGGAAGCTGGCAATGGTCACCAGAGCTTTTCGAGGTATTGGAGCTGGACGAATCGATGATGCGTAGGCAGCTTATGCGTTGGTGGCAGCAGGCCGGCATTCAGCCGAGTCAAACGTTTCTAAACTGTGACGACGGTTCGCTTCTTGCCACAGTTCTAGCCATTGAATACCTGCAGGGACGATGTCAAGATTTGAGATATATCTGGGAGTTAGTGTGTACCAAGGCAGAACGGTGGCTGGATGAGCGAACTCGAGCCATGGGGGAGAGAGGTTGGGGTTTAGTCGGACGTTGCCGGCAGCACATTCATTCCCTCGTTTCTGACAAGGATACTGAAGGATGAACGGGGAAGGTGTAAGCGGATCAGCTACTAATTTTAATCTCTCTCGTGTTCAAAAGTTAACCAAGTTGATTATTGTAGCAAATCTCATACAAAGGCCACTCCGGCCCAGAACATCAGCACTAAAATCCCTACACCTGCAGCCCTGACCCGGTGCGCAGCCGCACTCGTAGCTCCACAGCACTTGCCATTATACGTGACATTGTTCATCTGGGCTGCAACCTCGAAGACCGATCCAGGAAAGTTGCCATCATTGTAGTAATCGACTAGGAGAAAGTTGGGGGGACGATCCCATGTGGCTGCCACAATACATATCCAGGTCAGTGTTATCATGAGTGCACCGCAGGATGATTCGAGTCCCAAACTTACCCCGGCAATTGTTGGCCATGAGCCCCAGACTGCCGAACCCAGATACAGCATTGGTGGTGTTCAGCTGCGCGGTATCTGGGATCAGAATCTCAATTCCCTCCAGCATCACTTCAATGTCGAGGTTGTGGTTGATCATGTACATCCGCTCCTCGGCCTCCGCCGCGGTGATCCCCGGTGGTCGCTGCACCGTGCAAGGGAATGAAGCGTTGAGAGGAGAAAAGGGGGTCTCCCACATCTGGCTGAACTCGTCGAGGATGTAGGGGATCGAGCTCTGATCGGCCTGATAGTCCATGAACACGACCACGCGCTTCTCGGCCAGAATCATTTCGGACAGGGTCGGCCAGTCGCTGACATTCATCGGGATTTTCCACGGCTCGTAAACGTAGTCGATCAAGCCGGAATTCTGGATGGGAGCCGTGAAGTTGGAGGGATCCACGTAGTCGGAGTTGACAATCAACACCGTCACCACGTCATAGGGATTCTCTTTGACCCAGTCGGTGACGTTGGTGAGGTAGCTCTCCAGGGTGCCCATGTTCAGCAATTCGCACGAGGTATGACAAAGGTAGATGTCATCCTGATAGTAATGTGCTTCAAAGGAGACTGCCTGACAGTGAGCGAAGGCGTGGTGTGCAACGAGGATCGAGGAACTGACCCATGCGTACGCCGTCCTCGAGCTGAGTGCGGACCGGGTATGCCTGATTGGCGGCGACATTGTTTTTCTTCACAAAGGGACTGTTGTGAGCGGTCACCATCGTGATATTGGAGTATTTCCTTTCGCAGAATTCGGCGTATCCATTGCAGGGCTGTGAGTTGGCAGCCGTGGTGACCGTGGCGGTGCTGCTGCTGCTGCTGGTCATGACCCGCGTGCCGCTGAGCTGAACTGCTGTGTCGGTCGTACTAGTCGTGCCTGTTGCTGTCGCGGTGCCATTGCTGATCGTGGAGTTGGTCACCGTACTGGCAACTGCAGTCGTCGACAGCGATCCATTCTGGGCCAGTGTGATAGTGGTGGTGTAGCTGAGATAACTGCCAGTGGGCACCACCGCCGAGGCCGAGGTAACCACCACGAGAATGTCCGAGCCAGTCGAGGCCGATGAGGTGCTGCTAACCGTGGTTCGGTTGGAAGTGATCGATTTGGCGCTGACCAGGAGCGTGAACGCCTGCAGCACGGGCAGAAACAAGCGCCTCATTGTGAGCATGGTATGTGTCGCGTCAAGATACTTTTGCCAAGGTGGGCATCGACGGGATATAATGGAAAAAATGGAGGGAGTGACGTCGTCGGAAGCAGTCGGAAAAAGCTTGGCCAGCCTAGTCTAGTACTCTAGTACTCTAGTACTCGTGCCTGACCTGACTGACTCGGGGCCATGTGGCCGAGCCTTTGTCGACTTTCGTCGAGAGGATAAAACTTTGTTGCCTGCCGCGTCATCCTCGCCTGGAGTGACTTTTTCCGGGTGGAGCACGACCGAGGTTGGCCGTTGGTGGGAGGCGAAGCGGAGGGGAACTTTGCAGAACCTTCTTAGGAACCAGTCCGGTCACTTCCACTGCCTCAATGGGCTTTTGATCATGAATTTTATCCCAAACATACTCACAGTTTTGAGGATGGAAGTGAATCGAGATTGATGGTTTCGATGCGTTTCGCTGGTTACACCGATCGCCATTGCCAAGTCGGATCTTCCCGAGAACCATTGTCGCCTCAGGCATCAACAACGCCGAGCATGCTGCGGCCTGATCAGGCACAAAGGCACAAAGGCACACATGCCTGCAAAGATCGGGCTGTCCCCGTGTTCAATGCTCTCCTCATGGCTAGTGTCCCAGTAAGAGCAGCGGGTGGTATTGACTGTTCTGCCATTGGGTTGAGGTTCAAGTGTCACATCAGAAATGAGGGTAGTACTACGGTACATATGGTACAGTACGCCCAGGAAGTATGGGTAAGTTGCCACGTCTTGCTGATCTCATGCCGATCCGCAGCAACCTTAACCTTAAGCTCTGAATTCAATCTGACCAAGCCAGTGTATAGCGGGCGAGCAGGACGACAAGGAATGAAGGGGATAAAAGAGAAAAGAGGGGAAAAAGGAAAAAGAAAGAAGAAAAACAAAAGCAGAGGCGCCGAGAAATGCCATGAATCGCCGTGTCTCAGTTGTAGTCGGCGGGTGTTTCATCGCGGCCACACGGCGCTTGAGTGTCCTGCGTGACAGCTTCAGGAGAGTCCCCATGAGCACTCCTAAATCATTTAGACTAGGGGCCTGTTGAAGCAGATTCGAGGGACCACCTATCCTAGTTCGAATGACTGATTCCCCATCACACAGGATGGTGTGTTAGAGAGTATGTCTTGGTTTAGGGCTGGGCCGAGGCCGGGCTGCAGAATTAACATGAAACCTCATTTCCCCCTCTTATACCCATTTAGACCCATTGATACCCATTTAAGGTCTCAACCAAGACTCCACCCAAGTCAATTTACTCCACCAGAGCCAATGAACGACCAGAATATCAGGCATCAACCACCCTGAGCCATCAATGCCAATCTCCGACAGACCCTGACACCACACTCGGCATTGCACCCCTCCAGGGTCACCCGGCTGGGGGTGGGTTCAGGGATAGCACAGTTGCCCGCAAGTATATCTAGCCTAGGATCCCACAGGGTGAGACCGCTGTCCCTTCCCTTTGCAGACAGCAGCTTCACCAACTACCGCCCTCCATCATGCGTGGGCTTTTCACTCTTTCTTTGCTTTCTGCGGCGCTGGGCGCCTCTGCCGGCTTGACCGCATCCAACCTCGAGACTCACGTCGATGTGCTGGCACTCGACAACTCCTTCAACCCGATCGAAGCCGCCTACTGGACTAGCTTGGCGCATCACCGTCGGACTCCTTTTGCGGTTTCTCCCAACGGCAAGACGGCCTATTTGGCCTACCTCGATTCGAGCGGAACCGACGTCCATGTCACCGAGCTGGACCCTACCACTTTCAAGGCCACGGGCACTTCCGTGACGGTCAGTGGTGGTAAGGAAGGTAAGCCAATCTGGAGCCTGGGGTCTGGCGGATATACATAAAATACAAGCAAGCTAATACGCACGGTAGCCGGTGGCCTCGTTGCCCACGATGACGGCTTCGCTCTGTTGACCAACGAGGTGATGCCCTCTGGCACCACCAATGCGCCTCCCAGCGACACCCCCGTCCCGGTCTTGCACCGTTACACGAATGGCAAGCAGACCTGGAAGACCTGGCTCGGTGGCCCCGACGTGCACGCCTCCGATGGTCTGGCCGAGGCGGTGGATATGAACGGCGACCTGGTCTACTCGGAAGAGGCGGGGATGTACGGGGCCTACTTTGTGGTCAGTGACTACTCCGGCTGGGCCGAGGGCCACTACGGCGACAGCATCGAGTACGTGGCCACCAACGGAACTTTGTTGGACATCAGTGGGGCCTCCAGCGCCTGGGGCTGCAGTCACAACACCGGCATTGCCTTTGAGGCGGCCGACGAGCCTCCCTTCGCCAGTATCTGTGCGGAGGACCAGGGTGCCATCTGGCTGAACACCCAGACTCAGGGCATGACCAACAACGGGGTCAAGATCTCCAACGAAAACACCACCAACGGGGCCTCGGGCGAGCCCATGGGCGGGATGTCCGGCAGCTACAGCGGCCTGGCGCGCTTTGCCGACAGCAGCCGCTACATCTTCACCTGGGTGTCGCGGGGTGCGATCGATGTGACGGAGAACAGCTGGATGGGCGATGGATACACCCACGTCAACAACCGCACCAACCCCCGCAACGTCGCCTTGGCGCTCTTCTCTGACAAGTACACCAAGGTGGGCGCCCAGGCGACCTCAACTGTGGGCGCCGAGGATGGGGACAGCCAAGTGACCTGGGTCACCTCGGGCTCCAACGACTGCTCCAACGCCCATACCGCCACTTTCGGGAACAGCTCGGCCCTGATCACCTGGGAGGAAATTTCCGATCCGAGCTGTGACTACATTGCCATGGGCTGCCAGGGCAAATTCGCCGGCACCTACTTCCAGCAGGTGGATGCGAGTGGGCAGAAAGTGGGGGATGCTTTCTCCAGCACCGATGTCTACATTGCGGGTGACATGGTGACCATGTCCGACGGTCGCATTTGCTGGCCGTATGTGAGCATGGACTGGGATCTGTCTGTGGTGGTGTATGAGGCCGACTCTTCCAAGTTCACCAAGCAGATCAGCTTTGCCTGCATGTCTCCTAGCGGCAGCTCCAGCTCCAGCTCCAGCAGCTCGTCGAGTGCTGTTGCTGCTTCTAGCACGGTTGCCAGTGTCTCTACTACTCAAGCCGCGGCTGCTGCTACTTCCAGTGCGGCTGCTGTCTTTGTGGAGACCACCGCAGCTGCAGCTGCAGCTGCAGAGACCAGCGTTGCTCACACGGCCGTGGTCAGTTCCGTTGCTCCTGTCGCCACAGAGGCCAAGGTGGCCTCTTCCAGTTTCACTAGCCAGCCTCCCAGCTGGGCTACCGCCGCCGGTCAACGGACCACTCTCGCCACTCAGGGTCACTCCAAGACCTCCTCCGTCAAATCTTGGCCGACTGGGGGCTGGGAAGAAGGAAGTGTGCCTCAGTGGCAACAGCCCTGGTCGGAGGAGCAGGAGGGCAGTTGCTCGTACTAGGACATGGTACCATTCAACCCCACATAATCCGCTGCTAGCATGAATCAGGTAGTCATGGAGGGGCATGCGCTGGTTCCATAGCTGAATCTCATTTTGCCTCTTAACACGGTAGTATCAATTGCCACAAAGTCCAAGCTACTCAAGCCGATGTTGAAGAACTCTTTGCCAGTGGGCCTTTGGCAGACGTGTCGGTCGAGTCCAGTAACAATTGCACAAGTTCTCTCAAATGTAAGTTAAGTTATGTATACTACCTAAGCACAGATTGATGCAAGTTGAAGCATAAGTTAGCACGCGACACCCCGCTCCGTACAACTTGCATTCACAAAAGAATGCATCAGAATGTACCCATGATACACTGTAGATTTTATTCATGTTTATTCCCTATTGTTAGGGCAACTGGCGGACTACCTCACCTGACCACTACATCCTTCCATCACTTCACAATTCCCACTTCAATCCGACATCGGACCCGGCCCCTCGTCGGGAGAAGTGCTCACTGCTGACGAGGCCACGAAAGTGTTGAACGCTGCACTAAGCCAATTTGATGGGGGCCACGACCCTGGCGACATTGAAGTACTAGGTATTTTACTTACTATATTCACTATATACTCCGTTCCATCGAATTTGAATATTGGTAGATATCGATGCAGTCCTCCCGTTCTTATGGAGGCGGATCGATCGGTCGGTCGGCAAAAGCGGGTGGGGCAACGGGGCAACACAACAGCCGATGGGGGAATCAGAACCAGTCGGGAGGGAACCATGGGGGAATTCCCCTCAGAATGTGGGGGAGGGAAAAATGAAAAATCAAAAAAAAAAAGTCTGACATCAATGAGATAACGTCTGGTAATTCTCCTCCCCAATCTTGCACCACCATCATCACCACCATGAACAACAAAGACAGTCGCATTGTCATCGTAGGGGCGGGCGTGTTTGGTCTGGCGGCCGCCCGTCAACTGGCGTTGGAGGGATATCGCCAGGTGCTGGTGCTGGATCGCTCGCTGCCCCCCGTGGCCGATGGCTCCAGCTCCGACATCTCACGCATGATCCGCTTCGACTATGCGGACGATGACTATCTGCGCATCTCCCATGAGGCCTATCTGGAGTGGACCAAGCCCCGGTACCAGGGCATCTTCTATCCCGCCCC